CTGCTTAGCACCTATTTTACATTCAGAATCTGTCAAGATTTGGTATCTATTCATTCCTGTTCTAATTTATGGGGCTTAACATACTGACATGCTCAAGAATGTGTCTAGACTCATTTAAGGCTCGGGCAGGGAGGATGTGACAGTCCTACTGCCTCCACAATGTCAATCACTCGACCAGATAGTAGTAAGGACAATTCTAGGAGACTCATAAAGGACTTGAAATCACTTCTTTAGAAGTAAGTCACTTGATCAGTAAGCCTTAAAGTGCAATGAGCTCTCTCATTTCAGTTGTGCTCCTCTTCCTTTCTGTTGGTGATAAGGTCAGTAATAAACAGAATCTCACTGACATGGTTTTCAGAGAAGTTATGTTCCTAGGAGAGTCTTCTCACAGGGCAACTTCTCGCAATGTTAGAAAGCCACAGAACTGGGATATTCAGCTTAGCAAAACTCATTCATTCCCAGGATCATGCTGAGTTAGCATATTCTAAACAGCAACATAAATGATGTTTGCCTTTGATTGTGTAAGCTTGCTCTGGGCTAGCTTGCAGGAGAATTCATCTACCTGACTGCATTCAATTTAAGTGTGGGGGTTAACTGCAGTTTGTAGTTTTTGTTATTGGTCTGTACATGTTTATGTTAAAGGAAAATGTGATTACTGAGCTTGTGTAGAGATAATAAGTATAATAAGCCCATGTTAACTGAAGCCAGCAAATCTCTTCAAAGTATTTCGATACAGAGTGCTTTCTAGTAACTACCACATTCAGAAAGAGCTTCCCACTTCTCCAGGAGAGAGGGTTCCTTACGGTCATGTTCATAAACGGTTTGGAGGTTTAGAGCTAGCAAATGAAGAGTTTGTATTTTAAAATTATTGAAATTCAAAGGGCTGCCTCATGCAGGTTCAGCTTATGATGGTAATGTATAAACTTGCTAAGGATGTATAGTTTCATTATAGAATCTGGCAAGGTGTGGAAGATTTTTAGCATAGGATGGAGAAAATGTTTTTGGAAGAACCAGGGAACGACATCTAAATAGTTTTGGATCCTGTCAGTCTCACTTCAACGCCTGGTAAAATTATGGAGAAGATTATTCTGGAAGTTATTGAAAAACCCACGAAAGACAGTGCAGTCATTGGTCACAGCCAACATGGTTTCACGACGGGATAGTCCTGTTTAATGATCAGGACTTTTCCTTTTATGAAAAGGTTTCCCACATAGCTGACCAAGGGAAGCCAGTTGATATATTTTTTAGATTTCAGTAAAGCTTTTGATAATTTTTCTCACAGTGTCTTTCTGAAAAAACACAATGCAGTGGGTGAATGATTGGTTGATGGGTCAAGATCAAGTGGTTACGGTAAATGGAGCTATATCAGGCTGGTTGTCAGTCACTAGTGGGATTCCCCAAGGGCTCCATTTTAGGGCTTGTTCTCTTTAATGTTTTCATGAATTACCTAGATGTAGGACTTGAATATATACTAAGTAAGTTTGCAGGTGACACAAAATTATGAGAAACTGTTGACTGTTTTGAGGGCAGAGAGACCTTACTGAGAGATCTTGACTACTTAGAAGGCTGGGCAATCACCAACTGCATTAAGTTTAACAAAAGCAAGTGTCCAGATCCTGCACCCAGGATAAGGCAACCCTAGCTATACATCCAGAATGGGTGATGAGAGGCTGGAGAGCAGCCCTGGAAAGGGATTTGGGGGGGCTTGGTCAATGGTAAGTTGATTATGAGCCAGCAGTGTACCCTGGCAGCCAAAAGGGCCAACTGTATCTGGGGTGCATCAAGCATGACATGGCTATGTCCCCTGGTGAGGGAAGGGGTTGCCCTGCTCTACCCTGCACTGGTGTGGCTTCACCTCAAGTGCTGTGTGCAGTTTTGGACACCACAATATAAGAAAGACATAAAACTATTGGACGGCTAGAAAGATAGTGAAGGGGGTCTGAAGGGTAAGACATATGAGGAGCGGCTGAGGTCCCTTGGTTTGTTCAGTCCTGGAGGCCTCATGGCAGCCTGCAGCTCCCTCACGAGGGGAACGGAAGGGCAGGCACTGAGCTCTGCTCTCTGGGAACAGCGACAGGACCCGAGGGAACGGCATGGAGCTGGGACAGGGGAGGGTCAGGCTGGGTATTAGGAAAAGGTTCTGCACCAAGAGGGTAGTCGGGCACTGGGACAGGCTCTCCAGGGAAGTGGTCACAGCACCAAGCCTGATGGAGTTCAAGAAGCATTTAGACAGTGCTCTCAGAGACAGGGTCTGATTTTGGGGTGGTCCTAGGTGGAGCCAGGAGCTGGACTCAATGATCCTTGTGAGCAGCTTCCTGGATAAAGCGGCTTACATGATTCTTGGGGAATGGTGGGCAGAACTGTACTTTTCTTTCAAATGCAATATTTTGGAGGGTTTCTACCACCACAAAGGAGAAAAAAAGAAAAGAAAAAAAAAAAGGCAGTGATAAAAGACTCCTTTGAAAACAAAGAGTTTTTGATGGGTGAATGAGAGTTTTGAGCTAGTGAACAAGTGTAATAATATGAAGCATTTCTGTTGGACTTTTCTTTATTCAGTTATAATCATCTAAGGAAAAATGTGGCTCTTTTAGATTAGCCAAACAACTGGAGAAAACTCCAGCAGAGTCTACTTCAACATTGATGGGCTCAGCCTCTGCTGGAGTTATTTTGAGTTTTTCTTTCCTAAGATTTTTTGTTACTGTACTTTTGCCATATTTTTATATGAAAATAAAACTATTAGATAAAGTGATTACAACAAAAATAGTATGATATTTTCTATAACAGTCTTAAACTGCATTTGCATTATAGTAAATGAAGTGTGCAGCACATACAAGTAGAAAATATTCTAGAAGGATCACACTTCATGATTTTTTCATGATTTTAGCGTCCAAGGCCAGGTTGTATGGGTCTTTGGGCAACCTGGTCTAGTAGGAGGTGTTCCTGCCCATGGCAGGGGGGTTGGAACTGGATGGGCTTTAAGGGCCCTTCCAACCCAAACCATTCTCTGATTCTATGATTTTGGCTTTTGGCTTAAAATATGCACTTAATCATATTTTAGCCTCATTTATGGAGTCTCATCACATAGTACTTTTACTTGTCAAAAGATTTTTTTCTTACAGGGTTTCTGCTAAAAGTGTGGGCTTGTCATTTAGATGTTGTTCTTGAATTTATTTTGTCTTTCTTTGTCCTACCCAGTTCCTTCATTCTTGAATTCAAATGCCTTGTAAAGTATAATAATTTAGGTTGTCATAAAATCACAACAAAAATAAACCCTATGTAGGGCATGAGCCATTTCTATATAGGGATAGAAGTTATGTGATTTCTTAAACATCTTTAATTTTACTTGCTTTGTCCCTGCAGGTTTTAATGTATTTGCTTCACACAAACAAAATACATAGAAACTTGTCTTGCAGTGTCAGCTAAACATACTGTGTTTGTTCTGTATCTTGCTGTCTTTGTATTCAGATAAGCCTTATTAGTTCAGAGACATCTAGTTTGTGTGGATTAATAAAATTCAGAAAAGGAACTTTCAAACGAATCTTGAAAGCAAATCAGAGTAAGAATCAGGCTTACTTATATGCAGAGAATGTTCTGAGAAGAAACATTACCTTATGTTGCTGATAATCAGATGTATATTGTCCTCCAGCTTATTACAAAGCAAATCTCAGCATTTTGCAGTTAGTGTTCTATAAAAAGAATATTACAAAACTTGATGATGATGTTTTTACAAACAAAGCAATAAGAACACTCCAGTGTCTCAATGTCATCCAGTGAGATGTTGCTTCGTTGGTGGGATAAGAGGTTATTGGGCAGCTGTGGAAATGCAGAATAGACTAAATCTGTATTCCACAACATCTGCATATAAATTCATGTGGGAAAAAAAAAAAAAAAAAAACAGAAATACAGAAATATAGAAAATCTCCCTTGTCCTGCTGCTATTTAGACTCCATGATGCTAAACAACAATAAAATCTATCTCTTCAGTCTTGTTCTTAAAAAGGAAAATAGGTAATTGTCTTCACTGTAAAATGCCAACAAAAATAAACTTTGTAGGGCATAAGCCAGAACTGTTTTTTTTTGTTTGTTTGTTTTTTTCAGAAATAGATGTAGGTATATCTACAAGATGAGTGCAGAAAGACACAAGTTGCACAGTCTATTCCATGAGCTGGTTTTCCTCAAGTCAGTGTCATTTCATGATTATGGGCTATGCTTTTGCAGACTTACTAATACATTAATACAGCAAAGTTTCCAAAGCTAGCGTGAAACCACATGTGAGAGCACAGAGCAAGGTCATGACTGCTTGCCCCATACGTATGCGTGTAATTCATACCAAAAATGTGGGTATGATTTATGAGATGTGATCGTGGGAGAGGGCTACCTGCAGGGCAACTAGACCTACATTCTAGGTCAGGTATTTAAGATTTCCCTAAAGAGAACTGAGAAGGCAACAGGGAAAGCAAATTGATGAAGAGAAGTTAACCAAGACTGGAGAAGGTTCAGAAGTGTAAAAAGCTAGGTGAGTAAGCCATGTGATGACAGCTGAAATTCAGATACCTTTCACACGTGAAGTGAAATATATCAGAAGGAGTAATTTAAACTATTCATGCACATTAGTAGGTTCTGAGGTAACAGGAAAAGCCATGGGAACAAATGTGAGCAGCTGAAAGAAAATTCTTTTTAACATTCAGCATTAGTCAAAACCCATGTAAAGATGCGTAAAGAATAGGAAGGAAAATAAGACATTCAACAGACAAAATAACGTATCTTATAGAGTCAGTAGGAAAACAGGATACTTAATACTCTGCAGTGGTTGCTCAACACTTTAATGAAGGCAACATATGTTTACCAGTATTTTTCCATGTTAAGAATAAAAAACTAGACCAGCCAAGCTTAAGAGCTGTGTGAACTATTGATTTTTTGTTTGCTTAATTCTCTTCATTGGAGATATCATTTCAGTCAAAGCATGGAAAAGTTAATCTTTGCTTTTTTTCTGCTGCACAGAACCTGAAGCGTGTGGCAGAGACATGGATGGATGAGTTTGCAGAGTACATTTACCAGCGACGGCCTGAGTACAGACATCTCTCAACTGGTGATATCTCTGCCCAGAAGGAACTACGCAAACACCTTAAATGTAAAGATTTCAAGTGGTTCATGGCTGCAGTGGCTTGGGATGTCCCCAAATATTACCCTCCTGTGGAGCCTCCACCTGCTGCCTGGGGGGAGGTGAGGAATATACAAATTGGGGGGGGGAGGGGTGGGAAATGAAATGAGCCTAGCATTTTACATTACAGGAAATTAAAATTATGAAATTAGATTTGGCTCCTTTGATAAGTAGTGTTATTAAGGGATTTCTTAGTGATTGGAACAATCCGTGGACTAGCCATTAAAATGAGAAACTGTCATGTCTTAGAACCATTGCTGTCACTTTTATAATTCATTACAATTCCATGTGTACAGGCCATAAGCTACGTGCACAATGAGGACAAGAACATGTGAAAGATTATGTAGAACTCATTATTGCATTTCTGAAGATGATTTTAGATTCTGAGAATCTCATTAGCAAACAGTAGTTCTGAAGTCAACACTCTTTTTTTTTTTTTTTTTTTTCCCTCCCATATCCACTTACATACTTCCTCCTGTTCTTGTAATTCACCAGGGCTACTGTGTAGGTGTGGTTAGGTTTGGTCTGTATTGCTCATATGTACAAGTATGAAAAGTGGAGCCTCGGTACTTTTCTTTTAAAAAGACTAATTTTGCTCAGCTTGTGGCCTGCATTTTGTAGCTGCTAAGTGTCAGTAGCAGACAAACTGAATTTCTCTTTTGGGGGATGAGAGGAAGGGAGAGGATGGGAAAGGGAAGCCAGTAACCGCACATCACTTGAGTAGGGGGCAAACAAAAAGCCTGCTGGAACTCTCCACCAAAGACTAGTGATCAAAGATGTTCTGCCTTCAGACTTCTCTGAAGAGTCGAGCCACGGCACACCTTGTTTTGACAGTTTGTTTTGTGCAGAAGAAATGAAAACACAAAGAATGCAGGGACAGGAAATGACTTCTGTGGCTGTACTGAAAGTTGCAGTGGCCTTTTACCCCTAGGTACTACAGCTGATTCATTTCATCTTGAACATGACATGCAGAGGGCTTTTTCCACAGAGTTTATCAGTTCATTAAGATTTATAAAGAAGGTTTTACTCTCACTTTGTTTGGCTGCTTAAAAAAAAAAAAAAAAAAAAAAAAAAAAATGGAATGTCTGTACCGTGAGGTTCTGTCCCTCTCAGATTTTGCTGGAGATTTTTGGGGTTTCTCAGACCAACCAAAGAATGAAGTTGTTGACCAAAACTTTTAGTAAGACACCTTCCATTTCAGTATCTCCCCAGTGGTCAAGGATGGTCTGTAGAGGGGATTTCTAAACACAGGTGCCTTTATAGATATTTTTTATCCAGATTTTTTTTTAAGCAAATTTTATCATTGCCAAATTTTAAAAATAACTTTCTGTGGTAGTAGTGGTCTTTAATTCTTCTTTGCAAGCTACCAGTTATGGAAGTTCAAAGGAACATCAGTTTATTTCTGTCTTACTACGTGCTACTCCTTCACAATAACAAATTCCTTTGTTGTTAATGCTTCTAATATCTTTGATGCTGTTGCACACACTTAATTGGATAAATTTGTACCAAGAGGTAACAAATTCATTAGTAGAAGCCAGGCTGGATCAGGGTTGTGTGACTGCTACTATTGTCTTCCACGTGTATACACGTGCATCCTTTGAATAGTGTGATCTATATGTGAGATCTATAATTTCTACAGCCAGCCAAACAATCCTTAACTCGGAGTGTCTAAGAGGAAAAGATTGTGATTCAGGTATTATTTTTTCTAATATCATTATTAGTGCACTATTTGCATAAAAGCAAGTCTTTTTAAAAGCAAATCATACATCATAGCAGTGGTATCTAATCTGTACCTTGAAAGTACTTACTGAGTTCTTAGGAAGGAAGTTAAGACCAAAGACTTTGTTTCCTCTAAGATATAGTTTCTTTAAAATAAAAGGAAGTTTCAGTCCTATTTTTTCCTGAGACTGTCACATTTCTGTGAAATTTTAATTAATTTGCTGGTACTTGCAAAGGACTTTAACAAACTTGAAGGTCAATGACTGTCATAATTAGAAGCAGAAAGAGGAAAACAGACTGTGTGTCATTGCTTTGTAAGAATTCAAGCAGCTCTGGAAACCTTGCTGATTAAACATACCAAAAGTCTGTGCCAAAGCTGACTGTCATTTAGTACCCTCTCTGCTTGCACTTAGAAAGACTTTACATGTGCTTGCCTATGCCAGTCTGAGGAAGAACAAACAGTGAGCTACTCAGGCAGTTTTTGGCTCTGGTATTTTGATACATAGCTAGTAAGAGCATGTGGTGTAAAAACAAGTGTCTCATAAACAGCTGCTACATAACTCCTCTCTTTTTGCAAACACACTTATGTAAAATCTGACTCTTAAATTTTTGACAAAATCTATTCATGATGGTGAAGAAGCAAATTTGGGAAGCAAAAAACACTAGTCTTCACTACACTCAATATGACCTTATTTTATGTCTTGTTTTTGTTTGTGCCTTTTGTCCTTTGTAGGTGGTGGGGTGTTTATTTCCTAGATATTCTATTCTGCCGTATAACATCTGAAATATGTGCAGTAAAGTAATGCAACAATTAATCTAGATAGATTAATTTTAGTGAGACTGTCAGTTCTGGGTCTAGGTGAGATTACCATATTGTTTCCTCTCCCACCGTGGAGAAAAAAAGAAGAAAAAAAAAAAGAAAAAGAGCAGGTTTTCAATTTAGATTTTGTTCTTTCCTTACAAATATATTAGAAGGGACGTTTCCACTTGAAAAACAGTAATAACCATCCCATTCTCTTTTAAGGGTGCGATAATTTATTAGTAGCATGTGTCTGAAATCATGTTGAAGGAAGTTAAAACAATAGCTGCATTAGGTGAGATTTGGGTGCTGGATGTTTTCTTAGGAAGTATTCCTGAACCTACAAGCTGTGATCTGCTGTGTGTGTATTGTGCAGCTTCCAACAATATATTTGAAAACACATTTTACAGTAAATCAATCATATAATTTCAGCCATTGCAATTTACTTCAGACTTCATGAGCCCTATTGTCAAGGTGATATGAAAAAATTGATTTGTTTTACTGTGTCAAAAGGGAAATATTTAAGCTTGGTTTCATTTGCTGTTGCACGAACTTGTTATTCAATGATTTAATACACAGCAAATCTCTCAGTTACTGCAACAGTGCTGCGCTATAGGACCTTTTCAGTCCAGACCTCGTGGATTTTATAGAATTGTTTTACAGCACTGACATGAAGTTAAATCAAGTAGCATATCTGAAAAGGATTAAAACATAAGAACTCACTACCTTCTCCTTTGATAACTTTCTTTTTTAAAGTGTCATCCTCATACCCTTAACGAGTCAATCTCAGCCCACCATGTGTCAGATGGGCACTGCACAAAAGCAGCATAACCAACTATTCCCTACCTCGCACAGAGCAAGCGCTGCACAACTGAGCTACTCAAAGCTCCTTTCATCAGGATCAGTGTCATACAGAGTCCCCTGTTTCTTCAGTGAGGTCTTTGGCAGAGCTTGACTTCTTTTAACTTCAACTTTTCCTTTTTATTGCTCACACAAAGGATAAATACGCTTAAAATTGCTATGTATCAGTTGATGGGAAGGGTGGCTTGTTTCTCCGTATTTGATCAGTAGACGTTGATGGCCCTAGGGTTATCTGAGAATGTAAGCATATACAAAAACTGTCTTTAAGTTCTGCTCAGACAAAAAAAAAAAAAAAGCAACATAAATGAGCGTTTATTATGTCTTCCAAGAGCCACAGCCACTTTCTTATTTGTGGCATTGAATCAGATGTAAGGAAAGTGCTCTATGAACTGGTAACACCAAGGTGTCTCTCATGTTGCTATGTTGTATAAGGCACCCTAGGGATATTCACAGCACCTTCTCCACCTTCATCATTTTATGATGATTGTGTGGAGCACAGAAATGTCTTTAGGTTGCTATGCTTCCACACTTCTTCCTTTTGGTGCAGCTGGATAGTGCAGTGACGAGCATCCAGCACAGATCCCTGTGCCCTTGGGAGCGCCTCTCCCTCTCTGACTCACCCACTACGCTCCAGAAGGGCTGACAGCGGGGCCACAGAGCAGGCACTGCTGCAGACCAGGACATATCACCCTGTCTCAGGAGCAAATCTTGCAGGAACTTTGAAGGGACAGAAGTAAATCCTGCAAGCATTCCTCACCCACTGCGTCCACCAGTGTAGCTCAGTTAAAGCAAGGCAGCAGCAGAACAGAGCACGTGTCTGGTCCTTTCTCAATGGAAGGGCTTAGCGGGGTGGTGGGAAGTAACTGAGACACAGAGACTGGCATGGGAACCAGAGATGAGTCTTTAACTGCCACAGCCTCCCTGTGGTTATTGCTGACCACAAATTTCCTTCAAGTATAAAGAAAACACTCTTTTAAATGTCCCTTCTGTTGAACAGTCAAATGTTCAACTGGCTAGAGTTGAAAAGAAGGCAACACTGAACGTGGATAATTGTGTAAATGTACTTGTAATATTCTCAAAATATTTTAACATCTTAAAAACTAATCTTAAGTTGACCAATACACCAAATAACTCAGCAGACCCACTAGCACTCTGACTGCAAATAAATCCCATCCTTCTGTCTGTGCTTGGGCCCACGGGTCAGCTTTCTCTACAAAGTATTTTATTTTAAGTGTCTCTGTCATCAAGAGACTGGACAAATGCTGTAGTTGTGATTGTTCCTGTTTATAAAGAAACACAGATGCTTTAATCAAACATATGCAAACCCTGAAATTAAAATGGAATATTTTAATAGGTCCTAATAATCAATGCACTTGATAGTGGCCATACTGACATCATCTGTCAAAAATATTTTGCATTAATAAGTCCTTTGTTCTTTTCCCTGAGAGTTTATGGAGAAATACCTGTTTATCAAATCAGCAGCTTCAAATATCGAGAGGTAGCAGTGTAGTCTTCAAACCTAAAGTACAGGCTTAAGGAGCTTAAAGACCTCTCCTCCCATGTTTTGGCTCCTGTTTTACATCATGTTATTTTTTCCACTCTACTTCTGGGGGGCTAAGCTACTTATTTCTTCAGGCCTTGCCTATTCTGCAAAAAAAAAATATTTTTAACAAGGGCTGGCTAATGTAGAGAAAGGAAGCTGTAGTTTTAAGGTATATTCACTGCTTTTTATAATATGCAAGACTTACACTGTGATTTCTCCTCATGGCTTGCTACCTCATTTAAAGCACAGACATCAGATGCAACAACAGCAGCAATCTCCCTCTGTTGGCATGTCTGTTTGCCAAAGTTAGGTGCAGCACTGAAAGTCTTTATGTCCTTACTCTGACAGCTTCAATATAGAAGAGGGAGAACACAAATCCATTAGAGTTTGTGTTCTCTGTGCTTTTACACCTCACCTGTTCTCTCTAAGAACTATAGGGTCCATAATCTTTTTCAGTATCTGTCCCAGTGTGCGTTAGGATGGCATTTCAATAAGTATGCATAATGATATACATTCAGCATCGCATGCTTTAATTCTAAAAAGGCATTTAAGATCACCACTAACCACCTTTATTAGTCCATACAAACTCCTCAGAAATGTGCCTTTCCCATACACATATCTGTATGTACAAATGATAGCATTTAAGGTTGGGCAAATAATCTTTGTATGTAGCAATTCAGTGCCCTACCCACATGTGTGATAAAATGTCTCCTGTTCATCCCCAGTCTCCACAATGGCACAACTACAAATGTTGGAAATGTGAGTGTGTTAGGAGTGCTAACTATTTCTTCTTGAGTTGTAGCTCATAACCTAAACATTTGAAATCCATTGTGCCATGTGACTGGAGACAAGACAGTTCAAATGCATATTGATGTATAAATGAAAATAGAGCTTCTCTTTGCTTTGTTCCTGCTTTTCTTCCTTCTTCTGTGAAGGGATCTTAGGGGATTTGGCAGCAATGCAGTGCTGGTGTTCAGCAGAACATTCCCTGTGGTTCTGGCAGCAGCTTGATGGCTCAGTTCAATTTCTAGTGACTGCCAAGGCCACACAAAAATGCCAGAGAACAAAAGCACAGACTTGACTGAAATGCCTGTAGTACAAAAAGAAAATGAAAAACAAACCACAACCCCTCTGCAGCTGACAGGAAGGATAAAACAACAACAAAAAAAAAGATTGAATTAACATGTAAGCTGAAAAATAAAATAAAACAAAACAAAAAATATATATATCCTAACTCGAATAAACTGTTAAGGAGCAGAGGGAGTGATTTCCAACAGTGAAGGAAGTGAATGTAGCTTCAGCACAAGGCTTTTCCAGAAATGTGTAGAATAAATTCACCACACAGTCCAAATGAATGAGGCAGGATGGAGCAATGCCATCTAGAGAAAATTATGAAAACTCTTTAATCCATTAAGTGTTCATTGAATGTGGAGTGTATTCTCTTTCATTTTATAATTCTGAATCCCATAAGTGTAACCCAAGGATTAATGGTAATTGTTAGCATCTTCATGTTAATTAACTCACACACTTTAAGGACAGAACTGATGTATCGTTTAATTTTGTAATAGGCCAATAATTTTTATTTATATCCAGTAAATTTAAGTCCACTGAGAAATGACTGAACACTCATAATATTTGAAATAGATATTTCACTTAAGACAAAAAATGTAAAAATAAAATCTTTTCCCCTCATTATTATTTCTTGTCTTTTTTTGCTGAACAATATGAAAATAAAGGCAGAGTTGTTGAGAGCTGATTACATTTTGTCCTTTTTTTCAGTTAACGTGACTCTATACTATGGGACTCAGTGCTGGGTTTCAGCATCTGGCTGTATGTATCAAAAAGCTAGCATCTGATCTCTTCTACAGCAATTTCATTGTATTGAAATAAGGAAATATACCCCAGAACTGCACTTGTCTAAGTTTTGAAAGAATATTCCTCTGAGCTCTGGTGAAGGCTCAGAGTTTCTTGGAGTCAATTGTTCAAACTGGTGCTCACATTTGTTCAGTCTGCTCTTTTCTAAGCTAAACAAATGCAGTTCCTAAAACCTTTCCTGAAGGTTGGTGTGATGGTTTTGTTTGTTTTAATTTTCTCCAGTTCCTGTTGCTTTCCCATCTGTCTAAATCTTTCTTAGAACATGATGAATAGACTCAATTCCAGTCCTTCCAGATTCAAGAATAGAGCAGAGCAGCTTTCCCATGTGTCTTACAAGCATGACGATTGCCTTTTTTGCAACGTTTTGTGCTGTGTTTTTTTCCATCCTAGTTTGGTTTTGGTTTGGTTTTGGTGAGATACACAGTATTTAAGAGTGGCAGTGTTTACATTTGTCTAACGTAATATGGCAACAGTGATGACTTCTAAAAATTTTCCATGGAAAGTTACAGAAGCCACCTCAGCAGAATCTCCTTCAGCATCTATCTTTTCTTTTTTTTTTTTAATGTGGACCAAATTTGTTGCAAGAATGTCAAATGTGCACCTGCTTTCTATGTATTATATATACCAAATCTGTGTGTAGTTCCATGTATGTGTGTAGGTTTTGGTTACTCTGTTTCTCTGTATCTCATTGAAGGAGAAAGTTGTTTAAGAAGTCCTCTTCACTGTGGAAGTTTCTGAAGGATTTTTAAACAGCTTAGCTGAGGTATTCAAGGACAAATATACATGTATTTGCAAAATAAATATAGCATTTTCCTCTTTTTAGTGGCAGTGGGCAGCCTGTTCCTTTTGAATAGTCCTCCAAAAATATCTCCATAATAGCAGGCGTACATAATGATATGACTAATAGTCACAGGTTAATTATTACTCAATTGTTTCAGTCTCAAAAATGAGATTTTTCCTTTTAAGAATAAGTTCCACTACAGATTGTTTGCAGAAGCATACAGGCAAGACAGCACAAAGAACCTCTGGGTAAGCATAGTAAGTTAAGTACTTTCTAATTTTATGCACTTTGAACACTAGTTCAAACCTTATCTACAATGGTATTATTGTGTAAAAATAAGAATACGCATTGGGAAAGGGTGTGCCTGAGTCTTCAAGAAATATTGCTCCGAAGTCTGTGAGAGAGTCATTCAGAAATCATTTCCTCTTAATGCAGTTGATCTCACTTGCTCCAGTAAGAGGGAAAAAGAAAAAAAGAAAAAAAAAAAAAGAAAATGGACTCAACTTTGAACTTTCCACACTTCTCTCTCTTATTTTCTTTGCATGAGACTATTTCATACAGATCTACCTTTCATTTGTTAAGCAGCGTATTTCAAACTTTGCTGCTTCCAAAGCTGTTCAAATAAAGAATAGGTCATTCCAGGAGCTGGTGCTCTATCCTGTAAAAAGTAAGACCCACCACATATATATAACTGAGTCTCAAGTCCCTCAGCTTCTAAGGTAGCTGAATTCCTAGCTCCTTAATGTTGGAAGCTCTGTTCTGCAACCTGGTTTAATGTAAGATGTCACTGCTTGGTTTTGCAGATTCGAAACGTGGCAGCCAATCTCTGTGTGGACAGTAAACATGGAGCCACGGGGACTGAGCTGAGGCTAGACATTTGTGTGAAGGATGGCTCAGAACGGACATGGTCACATGAACAGGTATTTTAACAGCTAAAAGACAAAAGCACTGTCAAATTGTTACATCTTTTTTCCAATTTCTGAAGGTTTCCTCTTTTTATTAAGACAAAACAAGGTGTAGAAATTATTTTTGACTGATTGCTGACCTTAGTAGTTTTTTAAAAAGTATGCTTTAACCTAACCTCAGAATTTTGTCGTCTGTGCTATATATTCTTCTGAATTTCCAACAGGAATTGTAATATCCAAAGAGCTTTGGGGTGCCCCATTCTACCTCATTGTGTCATGAAAACACTTTGATTTCAGTTCACTTACCTTAAAATATTTTAAATATACTACCTGGGCATGTAAAGATCTACTGGTTGTCTCCTTTTATACTTTCATCTCAATAAACAGTAAGTGGTCGTATGTTAAGTGAATAAGAAGTATAAGCGAGATAAATGGGGTGAAAGCCAGAAAGGGTTTCACATGGATAAGGGATTATAAAGACTCAAACATCCTTTTATCTGGGTAAGTTAGGAAGAAAAATATTACCTCCCAGGAGTATGGAGGAAAAGATCTCTCATTTGTACTCACCATGATTGTGAGTGCCATAGGAAAGAAATCATGACTCACTAGCTCTGGCCAACATGAGCAAAGAGAATCTGGACAAAAAATACAACCTGACCATTTATTAGCAATTCTAGTGAACATGTCTTCCACACAGCAAAGTCACGGATTAGAAAAAATCACCAATGCTGAAGAGAAAAATTGACTTGGCAGTCATACATGGCACTTCTAAAGATATTAAAAGCTCAAGAGAGAGGAGTTCTGAGGGATATTTGAAGTGCTAAGGTCAAAAAATCATTCTCTGAGGATACTGAGAAATGCAGGGGGAGGTGTGTTAGTGAATGAAGTTAAGAAGCTAAAGAATGATCACAATTTAGATAAGTGCCAACACAAGGGAAATGAGATTGCCGAAAGAAGGCTTCTTCATATAGCTAGCAAAGGTAAAGCACAGCAAAAGGGTGCTGAAGTAGATATATATATATATATATATATATTTATGAAAGACATCCAGTAATTCAAACAACTATTTAAAGGAATTTTTATGGTCCAGACCAGACCATCATTTTGACCTCTAGTTTTAAAATCTGCAAACATAAAGAGGTCCAAACTCTCACCAAGAATAGAGGGGGCCCACTGCCAGATATGAGGGAAAAGAGGGAAGAAAACTGGATGAAAAGTGGCTAAAAAGAAACAACAACAAAAAAAAAATACCAGGGAAGCAGAAAAAAGGGAGTCTTGAAATATCATTTGAAGGTGAGTTCTGGTTCTGGTGAGGACACAAAGGGAGAATACCATCAGGAAGGACTCTGTGTTTCACTGCATTCCAGCACATCATGATGCTTGGAAACAAATTCAATGCAATAGTCCCCATTCTACACTAATAACAAAAAGTAACTTCATTAAGATAAATAGGGTTAAGTTAACACAGAACAAGTTCAACCAACCTCAAAGTGCTGAGCCAAAACTATGAAACCTCCCAAACTGCTTGACGTGTGCCTCGAGGGAATCATGAATTATTTCTGCGAGGCTGGAGTAGAACAGCACGTACCTCCTCGCCACAGAATAGCGTTCAAAACACTGCAAGGGAACATTTTTCTGAACAGCATGGTACAGTTGCATTGGACAAGGACTGCCAAAACCCAAGCCAAGCAATTTAATTCAATTTTCTGAACAGTTCAGTGACTTTTCTGGGTTGCTTAAGAGGGGCAGGAGCAGGATCACACAGCTGATTTTGTTCGTTTTTCTTACACATTTCTCCTTTTCCAAGAGCTACTGTTTAAAGTGTGTAATTCAGAAAACAAGCAGCAGAGGGCAGCTCCGCACAAGCTGAACGCAAACGGGCCCCAAGGAAGGTTAATGAATTAGCAGCGTTGGGTGCTTCTCGGTGATGACAACCAGAAAAGATGGAGCTTTTCAGCTCTGACAGAGAAGGGTGAAAATTAATGGCTTTAAGTTCCCCACACACCTGCCCCATCAAATAATAATAATAATATTTAACACTCAAAATAGTCTGTTTTCCTTTGCTAAAATGGGGATTGTTTGGATTTGTTTGTGGTGTGTTGTTTGTGTTTTTTTGTTGTTGTTGTTTTTGTCCCAGGAGACAGGACCACATTCAAAAGCTGTTGTTCCAACTGACAGGAGCGTAGGTGCCATTAGTTTATCTACCTGTCAATGTAATTCCAGAAATCATGAGAAATGTTGAAGAATCCCTAGAAGAAAATTAGGGTAACATAAATACAATTTCACTTTCTCCTAGAAAAAGTTCACTTCACTTTCTCCTCTATTTTCTAAAACTAGAAAATAGAACTTTTAGAATAAAGATGATTGGCATAATATCCATTACTGTATTACTAAGTAACTTTATTTGCATAATCTTATTACTTTTAATATCCTATTGGTTTCTTGATTAGTATAGAAACAAAATGAAACTGGTTGTACTCAAATATTCAGACTCCTGATACAAGACACGTTCACGTATCTGGTAGATTTCAAGGGTGAGTCTGTGCAAGGTACAGGTTTTCAAGATACCAGTTAAGAAAGAGAGGAAAGAATTACAGAATCTCATAAACTTTAAGATGAAGCAGACTAGATAGTAGACTTGGCTGAAACTCAGAATTTTTATCCTACAGAAAATTACAGTACATGCAGATTATCCAGAGGAGAATTTTTGGTTTTCTTGTAGAAAAGAAATTCTGAAAATACTTAATTTGGGAAGGTAAAAATGTTCTGGTGATGCAGAGCTTGATTTTTTTTCAGAAACAAGATAGCATCCTTTTCCCTCCTTTTCCAGAAGTTTTCCTCAGTGGAGAGACAGTATGCACTGATGTTAGCAGCCAATTTTCCACTGCTCTAGCCGTAGCTGATGCCTTTGTGTCTTGTAGCTCCTCAGGAACCCAGAGGGCAAAATCTCAATTTCCACCCTGGCAAGCAAAATCTGCCTTTGTGTTAGTGACAGGTGGTAGGGAGAAAAAAATCCCACAAAGGTATATTTTAGATTGGTGTATTTTGATGAAAATTTCTTGACTAGCTGTCCTTACTCAGTCCCAAAGACTACACAGTCAGAAATGTTACCTGCAGTAGATGTTATGATCACAGTCTAATGAAGCAGCTCCCAAGGAGAAAGAAGGTGATCTACTTGCACCCACAGTAAGCTGTGAAGATCAGCTTTGTTAAAGAGTGTTTGGGAAGAAATGCAAAAGAGCTCACCAGCCCTCAGATAGCTCCTCCTTATTGCTAGTACCTTCTTGAATTTGTTGCTTACAAGATTTCTATGTATGCCAGTAGACGCTAGCAGTATTAATAAAATTATCAAGCATTTTACTGTCATATTTCAAGTAGAGTTGACTGACACTGAGCTGGTCTTGTAACTCGTGGTGTAAATTTACAGGGAGTTCTTTGAAAAATACATGATATGGCTGGTGTAGTGGATGTTAGTGCTGATGGTATCACTAGATAGAGTCACGACCCCATGTTCTCCTTGATTCAGCCCCTTAGCAGCCCCTTAGGAGACCTTCCACCCCAGAGCTATAAAAGCAAACAGCAGGCAAAAGCTTTGTGGATGTCTTGCACCTTTTCTGGTGAATAGGAGAAGAATCAGAAGTGAAGGTGATTGTTACTGAGGTTTCTAGAAACTTCCTCAGAATTAAAATACAGAGGGGAAGGAAAGGGACGGGAGGGTGGCACATCTTGGCAATCTTCCAACTCTCTCTTCTCAGAACTGCTACCTGGTTTGAGGGAAAATGGGCCCAACCAAAGAGCAGCAAAGGATGTAGTGGCAGGAATTCTCTTTGTCCTCCAGGCTCGCCAGGGAGTGAGTGGACAAGCATCATCTCCAGCCCAACCCAGCCAGTAGCTGTGCAATCCACCCAGCTCTGTCTTCTAAGAGATAAAAACTCAAGTCAAAGTCTAGTTCACAAATATGACATTTTGTCCTTGTGCGGGGTGCGTGTTGTCTGCTTAAATCTTGTGCTATGGCCTGAGCACAACACTTGCTGACAGAGCCTGGCCAGGCAGCAAGCAACCAACGAATGTTGTCAAGTTGGAGAGCATTAATGGTTTCAAAAGGGCCTTTGTCCTGTAGACAGTCCCAAAACAGTGGCTGTGTCAGGCAATCATTTTTCAGGCCCAGTGCCAATTACAAATTAAGCTCTTCTTAAAAAACTAGAGAGATGGAAAGCAGTATTTTTCCAAGCTGTCCTGTGACTGGGCTAGGCCTCATCAAAAGCTAAAGCACACAGGCTGAGAAAATACTTGTTTGCAAACACAGAGGATGGAGCCTTGTTTTACAGGGTCTGTGGTAGGATAGGAGGTGGAGGAGGAGGGGGAAAGGAGCCAAAAGCAGAGAGAGTTTCTTGAACTTGACATGGAGCAGCAGCCCTGGAAACTATGAGTGAAAAGACAGACTGCTATCTGTTTCTAATGTGTTTGGAAATCTCTTTGCAGTCTTGTTTCAAATATGGAAACGGATGGGAGTGAATGAAGGAGTACATAGGGTTCATCCGTTTCTCATGAAGTCAGGCTCAGCTGGCTCCTAACAGCTTGGGCCAAAGGAACAACATCCAAAGTGATGGATGGTGGCAGAGCAGAGTGTTATGTGCTCAGGACCACAGCTAATAACATATAGCATTGTTACACATAATGCAGAGGAAAGATCATTTTTATATTGGCCAGATTTAGCATTGAAGTACACAGGATTCGATGTGTAATGGAGGATATCATAGAATGGTAAGATTGGAAGGACACAGGCCTTCAAATTTTATCTGTAAGTTTTAATATTTTCTATAAATTTTAATATTGTGTGTAGAGAGAAGTATAACCTTTTTTTCCAGTCATTTTTTTTTCTTCTTTCTTAGTCCTAAAACTGAGTTTCTGCCTCTTAACAAGGTTTGTTTTATAGTAGTATCACTGTGGAGAAGATGTACTTTTTAATTTGTAAATGCAACTGTGCTACAAAACATCAAGCTAAGAAGGAGGGGAAGGAATCTGTGTTAGTCTAATCAGTAAGATCTAGTATTACACAGATCCAGTTTTTCAGTGGAAGGGAATAAAAAAACCCTAAGTGTTACCAAGTCAGGATTCTTGGCTTTCAAACAGAACGCAGCCCCGGCAGTCTTTAGAAACTACACAGGAGTGAGAAGGGCAAAAGGATACCCTGCATCAGGCTGATCTGATGTAAAAGCTAGCTTTAGCTGTTTCAGGTGTTCTGATCCATTCAGTGTGGCAGTAGTCTTCTAGCCAAGGTCCAAAGAGCAACAGGAATGGCCTCTCAGCTCACCGATCATGCACTGAACGAAAAATTTGGGGAGCCAGCCACTGGGAAAGATGAGAAAGGCACTGCGAAAAGACCTCTCTCTTGCAAAATAGTCATGAGAATGAGAATATTGCAAAATCACTGTTCCACACCATTTCTCTAGGTATTTTTTATTCATCACTTTGAGCTCCAGGTTTATTACTTGGCTGTAGAAAAATAAAGCAAAAGAGAGGAGATTGCTTTTGCTGGTTTTTCCTTTAAAGGAAAATCATCTCAGGCTTCCCTTTTTCTAAAGATGCAGCATTGTAGCTTTTTTTTCCTGTATCAAATCTTACTTCTGACTTTGCTTGTGAAACGGTAGCCTATTTTTCAGGGAGTCCATGATGCTGCTTCCAAGAAACATGAATAAAAGTGGAGAAAGACTTAACCTTTTAAGAAGCAGGAATTGGTTTGAAAATGAAGTTAAAGCTGTCCACTGCATTTTACTGCAGATAAATCTAAAATGCACTCTGGGGGAAACAAGAAATGAGCAGGACACAGGGACAGACTGAGCAAATGCTGACTAGAAAACCTACAGTACAGAAGTAAATAGGAAACGACAGCTGCTAACAGGCAGAACAAGAGCTTACAATGAGACACCAGAAAAAAAAAAAAAAAAAAAAAAAAAAAAAAAGAGGTAAATATTCAGATATATGCTTGCTTTCTGTGCCTGCAAACCACAGGAAACAATAATGCCTCTGAAATGCATATTTGGAGGATGGGATAGCATTGAAGATGCAGCATTTCAGAAGGATGTATCTTTTAGGTAGATCACAGAGAGAAATTAGTTATCACAATGAAGAGGTCAAAATCTGGGAACCACATCAGGAGTATTCCAGATCAGACCCACATTGCACTGAGCTTTAGTCTGGATCTGTAGAGACTGGTTCTAACACCAGGAAATACATTCATTGTGGGGAGCAGGTTGCTAGGGCAGTACTGAAACTACCCTCAAATGAGATAGCTGGGGTGCTGGAGGCAGTCTGAGCACAGCCTGTGGAGCTGCTATTCCAGGCAATGAGCCTGTGTGCAGTTCCACATGAGTGGTCACAGCTAAATTGTTTCCACTAGCAAAGTTTGCTCATTTAAAGAGAGCTTCACTTTCTCGGTGTTACGCTTCAGTTTGTACTGTGGAAAAACAAGAGCCAAGCAGAAAGTCGTGGAATAGCACTTACACAATAAATTAAAATAAAATAAAAACAAAAACTTCACAGATCTCAGCAGAGCTTCTAGGTAGCAATTTTCAAGCTGCAACCTGTTTTCTGCAAGGATTGGTCCACAAGAAAGGAAAATGCACTCTGCATCTTTAAATTTGATGCTGTCAGACCTGTCACCTTCATCTTATGATTGAACAACTGCAGTGTCACAGCATAATTTCAGACAGCTGGTGCCTGATTGAGAAGAATTCCTCTGTTAACTGTGAGCCTCCACAGTTCCTCTCAGGAAGCAAAAAAGAGCTTTAACAAGCTGCCTGTAGCTCACAGGTTTCATGATAGAAAGACCATCATTTAGTGTGTTGTTCGGAGAAAAAAGACAGTCAACAGAAGATAGGCTAACAGTATCCCATATAAACAGAAGGAATCTGTTCATTAAGCCTAAAGGATATTCTGGGATGGGAAGATCTCTCTAAGTGACTTCTTCAGACTCAAACAAGAGCTAGAGGAGTGTTGGCAGCAGAGGCTTTCTGAGTCCCTGGTAGCTGCAGATCTCATGTGCACCAGTGTGCCTTTAACTGGGGTAACAAAAGGCTTAACAAAACATATTCCCTCTCCTCTTCAAATACTGTGTCACCAGAGATTTTTCCCTTCCCTGCAATAAGCAGCTGATTGTGCCTTCCTGGGGCGTACTCCGCATTGCTGTTGATGCACTTTAATTAAGGCAGTTGGAATCACTGAATCGTACACATGTAGTATCTCGCTTAATCAGAGGCTGTGATGTACAGAGCGGGGCAGCATGCATCGAGCTTTGTGCATCTGTTTTTAAAAGTTTCCCACTAGTAACAGATTAATGCATTGCCTGATTGTTTTTCTAGCTCTTCACCTTCGGCTGGAGAGAAGACATCCGCCCCGGGGAGCCACTTCACACCAGGAAGTTCTGCTTTGACGCCATCTCGCACAGTAGCCCTGTCACGCTGTATGACTGTCATGGGATGAAGGGAAACCAGCACTGGAGCTATAGGAAGGTCAGATTCACTCTGGGTCATTTCAGAGGTTCAGATTTGAGTCTGTATTCAAGTTAGTGCAAGGCTTGTGTTTTCCCATCAGAGAAGCTGTGTTTTAAAATCCACTCTGTTTTATTCCAATTTAATTTTGTGGTAATCTCTCTAGAGTGTGTTCCTGTTGAGCATTCAGCTATTTAGGTCAAATTTAAATGAAAATGGATCCAATCCAGCTCAGAGGGTGTCTGCGTTGGATCCATTCCCTGAAAGGTGTTTTACCATTCTGGCACTTCAAGACACTTGTGTCATTTTAGCAGAGGCACTATTGGAAGTATTTTCATCCAATGTGACAGCATTAAGAAATGCTGCTCATGAGTTAAATATTATTATTTTACTAAGTTTTATGAGTGGAAAAAATATCTCCCTCAAAAAACCCCAAACCAACATTAAAAGCACTGCTGTAAGCCCAAAGACAGCAGGAGTTTATAAATTAAAGATAAGCAGCTTAGACACTACTTTGATGTGCCAAGTTTCAGCTCATTTTGATAAATCGCTAAAAATGGTAGGTCAGTCTAGGAAATAAGAGCCTCATTTAGGGTTAAAAAATAAAAAAAATAAATAAAAAGCCCAAGTAAAGCTACCAAGTTTGTTTGTTTGTTTGTTTGTTTTTAAATGGTTAATCAGTAAGTTGCCTTGAAAAAACATTTCACTAATAAGCACTGTATTCCAGGCAGGATAAGGACATATATTTCTCTGAAGCACTAAGGACTTCCTCTTATGCATCTTTCACTTTTCAGTGACCACTATGCCTTGTCATTCTGGAACCTAAGTGCCAGGAATTGGATTTTGGCATGTAAACCTCAGTAGTGCTTTCTAGATTGAAATGATTCATAGGAAACTAATTCAGAAGCATTAAAAATAGTTCTGCTCGTACTTCTTTTGCTGATACTTTTTCTGACTACCTGCTTATTAGCCTGTGCCTTTTTTTACTGTATTTATCTTTTAATCAGAGATGCAATGCAATATTTTCCAGAAACACATTCCTTTTGAAGCTGAGGTATTGCTTGTAATAAAGTTAAAATATATGGGCCAGATATTTAGAGGACATAAATTGTCATGGCTGTATTGCTGCATATCTGGCTTTGTAATGCCATTATAATACCTTCTTGCTTCAGAACCCTTCCAATTTATCTTTTTGCTTGCCCAAGCTGTAAGAAAGAAGCTTTCATGCCTTTAGCACTTCATTGGTGCCTAATGTAGCTGGTTCATAAGAAAAATGCAGGTCTGGAGCTGCCCTCTTTGTGGCTCATCACCTTTGATGTGGACAGTATACAGCAGATAACCCCAAAAAAATGACATTTGAAAAAAATACACAGTGTGAGTTCTATTAAATCCTCTGCACAGCTTCATTTTTCATTTCCAGAAGGCTGACAGGACTCATATAAAAATTCTGAATGCAAGGCTGGCATTTCCATCTCAGCAAAAGACACCACAAAATTTTGTGATGATGGAAGTACTGACACAGTCCCAACTGTAATAGTAACCTGACAGCAAGCTGATTAGTTTGTATGAGTACTTACTGTTTAACAATAAAACTTCAAATAAAGAAACTGTAGTTGATTAGTGAAAATATAATTTTGTTATTGTTAATTAGGCTTAGTTTTAGTTTGGCTACACATTAAGTAGGCTTTGATTGTTCCACAGTGTCTATCTCCTTAGATACAGGGTAGATTTATAGTAGAGAATTTTTGGTGTACAGCTATACAAAAAAAAAAAAAAAATCCGAATGTTATAATCCTTATCCTTTTGGAGCATCTAGGCAAAGGGATATATGCTGCTTCCCAAAGAGAAATAGACCAAACAAGCAAAAGGGTGCTTATATCAGTTTAATGCTTCTATAATAGAGCTCTTTACCTAGAAGACAGTATGTGACTAAAATTGCACCTTAAAAAACAGGAATAATAGTCTGTGGTTAAAAGGAATGTCTTCTTTTGAAAAAGAAAGAGAAGGTCAGCAACTGTGTTTTGTTCTCTGCATGACTTACCAAAGCCATAGCTTTGTAATGGTCATTTGTTCATCTTGCCATTAATTCTTTCCATTTATTAGGAAAAATGACCTTGTTTGTCAGAATCTTATAAGATGTTTAATATAAAGCATTTATTATCATACTGTCATGCTATTCCTATAAAATTAGAAGATGGGTTTTTTATTAGTTTAAGGGTCAGTCTCTTTTCATGATTATTTGCATCCTCAAGTCACTGGTGAGCTCTGAGCAAGTATTTGAAAGTCTAGAAAGTCTGCGATACTAAGAAATGATATTTTTTTTAGTCCAAACTATTGGCATGTAATAAAACAGCCAAGTATACCCTGTAAGAAGGGATGAAGTAGCCTGAATCCAGGCAATATCATGAACATCACTGTAGATTAGAAAAATAAGAAAGTGAGTTTAATACTAGGAAAACAATATTGACACCGTAATGGGGTTTTGTAAACAATTCTGGGAGCAATGGGAGAAATCTGAAGATATTATAGATTTTGGAGAATAATGGCTTTCCAATCTAAAGCCATTTCCTTTGCTCTGTTTACAATTCCTAAGTGTGCCAGAGATGAAGATCAACAGTGTCTACAAATCTCCATTCCTCCCAGTGAAGGAATATGCCTCAGGTTTTCAGCTTAGTGTCACTCTGGGGTAATACATCAGTTCTGATAAAGTATGATTAAATTTATGTGCCCTAGTCCCCTTAGTACTATTTGTAGAGCACAGATATCCAAGAGAGAGCTGATTTAGAAGGTCTTTAAAAAATAACAGTTATAGTTGTGCAAAATCAGTTCCATTATACTATAATTTTACGCTGAACGTAGTGATTACAATAGATGCTAGACTGAAAACGTCAAAAACTCTGCCCAGAATGGCATGGTTTGTTCATATTTTCCTGACAGCTTCAGGGACAAACAGTAAGAGTAAGTTCGCTCTTCACTCAGTGGGCCCATAGATTATTTCCTCAGACAACCAAAGACATGTCATTGTGATAGTGGTTTTTATCGTATGGACATCTGTCCTGCTGAAACTGTGCTGAGGCTACTGACTAATTTCAGATAAACGACTGCAGCTACCAGCTGATAATGACTTCCAGTTGCTGTTGACCTTGGCCATAGTTATAGCAGTGACCTAGAAGAAATGAAAAGTTCTGTGTCTCATTACCAACCCCTTGAACTGCCGAGGCCTATTATCTTATGGAGAATTTTCTCCTACAAATCATACTCAGACTTGGCATCATGCAGAAGAAAAAAGAAATAGCTCTGCTCGTTTCAGATGTTAGAAAAGTCTTCACAAGGGTCCTTGTGGCTTTTTAATATTGGTGTAAAGAGGATTTTATATATTTCTCTCAGAAAGTTCTTCTCTGGGATGCACATAACTGTTACCCCTTAAAGTCCTCAGCCTGTTTCCATTGAAATCCGTAAGAACAGTAGGCTTTGACCTTAGGTCAGTGTAAACTGGAGATGATAAATTAATAGGCCTTTATACATCGTTAAGTCAGCCAGAAGTTTTCCCAGAGTAGTAACTATGTTGCTCTTCTTGAAAGACGCTCTTCTCTCCTAATAACCAGACTTGCTAAAAGAAGGCACCAACAATGCTTCATTCAAAAATTGCATCCCCTGGCTATTTCTGTGAGAAGACAGACCGCCAGCTCTCTTTGAAAAGGCCAGAGTGTTTTTCATAGCACACTTTTTGCAATGAAACAGCTTCCTTTCTTCTTGTACCAGCTACTGTATTAAAGCTTCTAGTATTCCATCTTTAGCTTCCTAGCAGCTTGGCTGACCTCATCCCCAGCTATGATGCGAGGAAAACCAGACATCACCTTCCTGTGAGGCCCCGCAGCAGGTGGGGTAGCTGTGCCGCATCACTGCCCACACCCCATTTTTCAGCCAGTGCCATCCGTCAGTCACTCACAGACCAGGAGGAACTGGTGAGGTGCAAAAGGGCACCACCCCAGAGGGTGCCTGGGAGCTCTGGCAGGACCACTCGTGACACACTGAGGACATGACGTAGAGCAAAATGGGCCCCTACCCACTCTATCCACACAAAGGCGGTCAGTTTGATTTAGTCCTGTTGGCTTTGACAGCCTCCCTCAGACTTACAGCCCTGGGTGTACGTGTGGTTAGCAGCTTCCTAGGGATAAAAGTTGGAGGTGAATACTAGTGTCTGTGACAGGCAGGTCAAGCACCATCACCCTCAGCGAGAGCACGATGACATACTTTGGAAATTGCTCTTTGTTGCATATACTAAAAAAAAAAAAAAAAAAAAAAAAGATACTGTGCTTTACCAGTATTTCAGACTCCTCAGAATCAAATAATTTATTCTTTCCTAAATTAAAACAGAAAAAGAAGAAGAAGAAGCTTTCCTTTTCAAAAGTGGCTTCTATTTCTTTTTGGCTTATTGTGTTGTTTTTGTTTTTGTCTTACTACTTTTTTTTTTTTTTTTGAATGGAGGGGTATTTTTAGTTCAAGAGGTTTCTGTAAGATTATCACCTAGAACCTAGAGTATTCCTGTGAGTTTTTAATCAATTGTGATTTGTCAGGTAGCTTTCTTTTTTCCTCTTGCAAACTGGGCAAGCAGGCACATCCTCAATTAATATTAAACTACCATCAGGGCATGTTTGGCATGGAGGAAGTTGCAGCCTGCATGTGGTTTACTGAGAGTAATCTGAAATTTATTTCAACAGATACAGTAACTGTATTGTATAGTCCCTGAGAACTTCAAACCAACCAATCACTCCCACATCTGTCTCTCAACCATTTGCTTACATGAACTAAATATGTTGAAACTCCCCAACAAATACCAGTTGCTTATCTGGGTACTTTATGCTTTACCAAAGATTCACAGTCAGGTTATTATAAATTAACTCAATTTTTGTGAAGTAAAATTAATAAAACTAATAATCATAAAGATCCCCTTTAAAACAACATAATCCATACTTATCCTCCCAAAATCTCCATAGGGAGCTAGAACAGTGTTACAATTTTCTTCTTAGGAGTAGAGATAGAGTACTTCAGTGGCTTGTCTTATCAAGGCTGCAGGCAAAGTCTGCATTTTATGGGGTGAGAGCTGAGATCATCAGTCCTGTGTCTGTCTGTCTGTCACAGTATTCCAGTTAATACTCATTACTGACATCTTCATCAAGTTGAATAGCATCCAGTTCCCAGACAGATTGTTACAGATTCTCCTGCCCAGAAGCACAGTAGAAATTGTGAAAAAACAAACCCAAACAAAAAACAGACTTTTCAGGTTCAGACATATAAGTGGGGCCCAGGGAATGAAGCACATGATATACAAAGATTACCTAAAGACATTCTGTCTTTTCATTGTATTATGTAGTTATTATCTAAAGACAAGAAGATGCCTTCTCATTCTTTCCTGATCTCGTTTTTTGGAGAATAAAAACCCAAGGAAAAATTACTAGAGAGTCTCTAACGCTTCATAAATTAAGCTGTGGTTATTACCCAAGGTTATGACACAGAGTATACGAAATCATTTCAGACAGGGTTGTGTTAATCCATGTTCTGTAAAATGAGAACACTTCCAATTACTTGGCATCTGCTACTTAATTGTATTTTTTTCTCATTCCTGTAGGACAAAACTTTGTTCCATCCGGTAAGCAGCAGCTGCATAGATTGCAACCCAGCTGAAAAGAAGATTTTCATGAACAGATGTGATCCTTTATCTGAAACTCAACAGTGGATTTTTGAACATATTAATACAACTGTTTTAGAAAAATTTAACAGCAAGGCCAGTTCCTAGGGAAAAAAAAAAAATGAACACACCCAGTTACATACAGCCTGCAGACTACATTTTCGCCAGCATCTGGGTCAAAGGAGTCAGGAATTAAATTTCCTAGATCCAGGAAGTCTGTCCTGAGGATTAAGAAAATGCCACAGCAAGAGCCAGCAGGCTGTCCTTGTGGATGTACAGTATCTGAAGAACTTGGCTAGGAGCCTCACCGGATGCTGCTGAGAACTTCAGGCTGAAAACTCCCTTGCTGGTCAAGGGAAAACTTTGTTTAAGAACTGTTTAAAAGTACTCCAAGTTAATAAAGTAAAACAAAGCTCTAGAGTTTCTCAGGTCAAGTCCTGCCGTAGTGAGTAGTTCAGAACAGACACTGTAATTTGGGATGGGTATATGGTGTGCATGACGGCTACAGGAACCTGAAGAAATCCCAGGTTTTAGAACTAAACATGCTGGTGGAAGAATAATGATGTCCCAGCACTCCCCAGACAAGATATATGCTCTGTTGATATTCTCTTAATAAAAGGTTGGGTTAAGCGGGTTTAACCCTCAGAACTGCTGCAATTAATTTTAAATACCTCCCTTTTACATTCCATTCATTACCAAAATAGGAATGGTAGAAATCTTAGGGTCTAGAATTACACTGTAGTGAAGCATGAAATAAACTGTAAGGTTTTGTCCTCATATTTCTCCCCTTCAGTTGGGGAAAAAAAAAATGAAAAAAAGCATAAAGCAATCAAATTTCTATATGTGATATATTTAGCAGTTGTGATTCAAATCCCATTGTCACACAAGGTGAGATTTTTTTCAGTGACAAATATAACATCAGCAGCTGCAACATAATGGAAGGCTTTTGGACTAGTTATCTTTTCTAAAGGTAGAATCCTTACCAAAGTATAAATTAAATTTAAAATAGGAAGAAAAAAAAATGTCATGAAAGTAGGAAATAATTGCATACTGCATGCTGAACTAGGTTAGTCAAATTAATATTGGTACACTGCCATCACCTAAAAAAGTGTTGACTCCCCATAGTGCTGCTTAGAAGATCTTGCAGAGATCATATGTTGTTCTTGACAGATATGCTTGGAGAGAAAAATTGACATGAAACTAGTTGGGTGGTTTCAGAGTTCTTGATGAAAACCATGAGGGAAATTACATGAATCTTAGTTATCAAAGAAATGGCACTGTAGATCTTATGATGGAGGAAAAGAGGAGTGCAAACAAGTTACATGTTATAATATTTTGGTGTTTTAGGCGCAGACACAATTTAGATTCAGACAGATTTCTGTCACGCTGATGGTCATTATGGCATGTGGTGTCCCTAAGAACCATCAAGCTATTGGCTTGAGAGGCCTACAGTTCTTTTCTGAAGAAATCAGTTAATACTGATATGTGGAACATAACTGACAAGTTTGTGATTTTTCAAGGTAAGAGCATGTGTATAAATATATCAAAAAAGTATGTGGACTGCTTTTGCTTGAAACATGAGTTTACAGATGAAAGCACCATACAGATAGATGACATTCCCTAGAGGTGGCTCGAACAGTGCTGTTAGGTTCCAAAAATATCATATATAATTAAGTTGATTTTTCTTATTCCTGGAGAGGTGGCTTTCTACTGATGTGTAGGCAACCCTGTTCTGAGGGAAAAGGGTGAATGTGTTTTATGTATTGCTCCTTACACCGTGTTTATGCACAAAGAGCACTGATTGCATCCAGAGGATGGTTCTAATACCAATTAGTATGCACTACGTTATGACAGCATCTTGTAGTTGTAGATTAAGACCCAAAATTGTAGGTTATAGGAACTTTTTAGGAGGGTAATGAAATCCTGAAGCACTTAGGATGCGTGCACTTAGAAAATTCTGAAATGCATCCATACTGTGAGTAATTGAAGATTGAGGTTATTGAAGAGACCTTCCAATTAATCTAAAAGTAATGTCTATAGAGCAAGAATTCTTATTTTATGAGTTTAAAGCAAATTAACTTGTTTAGGTATTGTTTAAATTGAATTTAAAGTTATAGTGCACTGAAGAATGGAGGCAGTAAGGCTGCTGTGTGAGGATACTTCAGATTAATGTAGCTATCAGTACACAGGACCAGACTGGGCACTGCAGACTGTCAGCCTTCCCAGGTGCAGTGCATGTAGCATCATTTATTTGGAGCCTGAACATGAGAAAAAAGGATTTAGAAAAAAGAAGAAAATGGGCACCTTAAATGTAAATGCAGTCTTCAAGCTGCTGATTGAAAGTGGCCCCAAACTGTCAAAGTCTTGGACGCAACACTGTCTGCCCAAAATAGAGAGGCAAAGGAGAATTGCTAAACCAGCTAAGCAATTTATATTATGCACACATTGGTAGGATTATATCATTCAGTGTGTGATTGCATCTCAGTGGTCTGATTCTGAAACGTCTAATGGGAACTAGACTGCTGTTGGGGCAGAGTTCTTGTACGCTTTTTACAACCTTCATTGATTAATATTGCACAGCATCCTGTACTGCCAAAGAAAACTTTCCCATTACTCATAGTTGGACACTGATTGTAAGCTCTAGCAGTCCTTGTCAGAAAACAATCCATATAACTGATATTCAGATGTCTTGAAAAAAATGTATCCTACATAATATTTTTTTTTTTTAATAGGCAAAATATGAGAAAAAATATATTAGAGTTTGTTGTGTGTCAACAATAAGCAACTTTTGATTAATCTGGAAATACAAAGTTAAATGAATGTCCAGATCTTGCAAAGAGTTTAATAAGAACTTGCCACAGTGTGGTATAAAAACACACACACATATACATATATGTGTACATTACTAGTGGAAAGAGACAGATGGAGCAGAGAGGTTTGTTTTCAATTCTTGGGCTGAGATATCAAATATTTAGTATAAACAGAGCTACACAGAGAAAAAAAAAATGTATATATATAAAAAAATATATGGAGCCATTAGCCTGATAGAGAAGACAGTTATCTCACTGTTTTCAGCTTTAGCAAATTTCTCTTTCTAAAAACCGAGACAAAGAAGCTAGCATGCAGCTTCTCCACAGGCAGCTATAATCCTCCTGTTCTGCATAGAAGGTGGCCCTAGGGACAGTGTTTCAGAGCTGTGCTCCTGTAGCATTTGGGATGATGGATTTGCAAAATGGTTATGACTTGCTAAGCACAGGACTCCTTCAACAGAAAGTATTATTAATAATATATGATCATCCCTACCTCTAAATTAAATTCTGTCTTGAGTGTTCTCCAAAGCTTTCTACTGATGACAGCATTTCATGACTAATTTAACGTTCAGAATTTCTTTAAGTCTTCCAGCAACCATATCTTTTCCACCCAACAGACATCTGAGCAACTCAAAAGATCAGATGGACAGGTATATTTTCCTGTCATATTTTACCAGGACCATTTAACTTCAATATGCATTTCTCCAAAAGACTATGAAGTTTCTTCCAGAAAAATGCTTAAAATGTGAGGTACTTCTGAATATATTTTGAATCTAGTACACAGGTAGCATTCACCGATGTAGGCTGATAATTTTAGTGGGGCTCTACTAACCTCTCCCAGATGATGATTTGCTTCAGTTTGTCTATTGATGATTTTATGATTGAGAGTGCTTTAATCAACATGCCTCAAAAGATCTACGCATCATAAGAGTTCATCAGCACCTACCCTAAACTTTTCCCATTTAAGATTATCTGACTCTTTTCATGGTCACCAAACTACCACTACAGGAGATGACAGCAATTGGAAAAACTGGACAACAAAAACTCTAAAACTGTGTATGTTTCTCTGTGTATATTCCAAAATCCAAACAAAACAGAAGCCCTAGCAGAGAGGGCTTAAAGGAGAGGGTGTTTGAGAAACAAAGCATTTCAGAAGCATGCCAGAGAGTATCCATGTTGCAAGAGGCATGATGAGACTTCACTTTTCATGGGACATGACCTTATTTCAGGGAAATGAGGTATTTTTAGAACAAATGTTTTCTGCAACATTATGGGTATTTTAGTGATATAATGCATGCTTCCGGAGTGTTATCAGTTTATAAATAAATGGGTTGTAGCTGCTGAACTAGGTCGTCTTCATGATAAAGATAGCCTAAGCTTGAAAGGAAGCCAACAAGCACTTAACAACCTTTGATTACTGGCAATTTTCCAGGCATCAGCATCTCCATGGCCTCAGTGAAACTGGATGCCAGAGAAGATCACAGAAGAAACATACATAAATAGCCTAACCAAATGTATTTGATGGGTTGCAGCCGTTTAAGAGTGGATGTCACCTTTGTTAAAAAAAAAATATAGTCATAATCAGAATTAATTAAACATTTAAATAAATGTTTTTACTGATAACTTCTGCAGAGGGCCAAGGGAATGGTACTCTTTCAATCCACCCTGGCAAAGTGGGGATGAAGTGCTTTAGGAAGGCAGTTGTGAGGAGGCTTTCAGTGTGGCTGCCACCAAGTGTGCATCTATCATCTGGTTAAAGAGCATCAATCTTTAATGCTGGGAGGCCAGAAATTTTTAAAAGAACATAAGGTGTACATTAAGAAAAAAAGAATATGATGATAGGTTACTTTTTAAAATCCATCAATTATGCAAGCCATTTCAAAACCCTTGAAAACAAAAAGCTGATCAGAAGTAGCTTTTTTATAGCTGGTAGTAGGTATAAAAGGTTAATGAGTTCATTTATATAACTCCCTTACAAATCTGTTCCATATATCCTTTTAGAAAGAGCACAGAGGTCCCAGAGTGCTTTTACATCACATTTTGAGGATCTCGCCCTACCTGGAAGTAAGTTTTGAAAGACCTTTAGAAAATTTATATATTAAAAAATATATATACATGAATATTATATCTAGTGTACAAAGAGATTTTGCTAAACTTCTTCATCCAAAATAGTACCCACTGACTGGAAAAAAATAGGTGAATAAGTACTATAGTTTAGTAAATCCTTACTGTGTAGTGCTTTCAATTTAAGATTTCTACTCTTAAGAAAAAGTACAAAGTTTAGTGAATCCGTGTAGTTAGTTGCTGACAGTTGTTTTGTTGTTTTTTTAACCACATGTGATACATAAATCTGTCCTGAGGTGTCCTGTAAACTCATATTTTTCTTGTTATAATTCTGAGTGCACTGGGCTGAGAATAACCTAGGCAGAGAAAACCTTTAAGAACTATCTAACTGTGTAAAAAAACAAACAAACAATGAGCAAGTTTAGCTAGAGAGAAACTGAAAAATGCATCACATTTCCAAAGCTTCAGCAGCATTCAGAAAATACATTTACTTCGTGTGATGGCTCTGTGCCCTTTCAGTGTATCATTAATATCTCTGTCTTTACCCCTGGAGAAGGATTTCTGAAAATGATGTGCTATCATTTGGCACAGTTGATGGACAGGGTGCTGCCAAAGGAAAAAAAAAAAAAAAAAAAAAAATCACTTTGTAGGAACAGTTCCTAAAAAAAAACATTCAAACATTGCAGTCTGGTATGTCTTCAGAGTCTTAGCTATTTTTGAAGTTCCCATTACCTCAGTTTTTTGTTTGTTTGTTTTTTAACAGGCCCAAACAGAGCACTGGCACAGGTTCCCCAGAGGGGCTGTGGGGTCTCCCTGCTTGGAGATCTCCAAAAAGACACTTGGACGCAGTCCTGGGCAGCCTGCTCTGGGCTCTGCTTGAGCCTGCTGGACCAGGTGGACTCAGAGGTCCCTTTCAGCCTCAGCCATCCTGGGATTCTGTGCCTCAGTGGCCTTTATGAAAATAGTGCATACAACAGAGGAGCAGAGAGAACATGCATTAAAACAAATAAGAATTTGTGGCTACCTAAAGATACCTAGTCCACAGGCACATTAAATATACACAAATATAAATCTGTTTCTTTTGTGCGGCCCTTGTGGAAGATGCACAGCTGCAGCAAGTATATGAATGAGAAGGAGCCACATAAAGTGGGCCAGCAGGAAGTCGTTACCTAGCAGACACAGAAAGAGTCACGGTGACCTTATTTTTGAGAAGCAGATGAACAGGGCCTTGAGAGTGATACCACAGCCAGCACAAGCGACGTGAACAGAGCTGTAATGAGTCAAGTTTGCTAAGCAGTGCTATCTAAAAGATATTAGGGCATGGGAAAGGAAAACTTGGTCCTCATTAACCTTTGCCCTTATTAACCTTGGCAGTATCCCTCACCCTTTTTCAAAATATTAGTTGATTTAATTAAGTTAATCCTTCACCTCTCCCAGCAAACGACCTAAGCCCAGAGGAACCACAGCCCAAGCAAATTCCTGATGACCAGCTTAGAGCATCTAATTGGCACAAACACTAGGCACAGGTTAGTCAAAAAAAACTACTGCCACCAAAGCTAAAACATAATCAGCCTGAAAAATCCATAGGGCCCCCTTAAATCCCTCTGAGAAAAAAGGTTTCACTTGCCTGGAGGAGTGATTGATAGTAATGATCCTAGATTAAGAAGATCAGGAGTCATGAGCTAGCAGGGAGGTGAAAGGCCAAATGGTGAGATTATAGCATGGCAGTTTAATTGAGAAAGGAAGGAGGAAATAGGTGGTAAGAAGGAAGAATCAGGAGTCATGTTTATTTCTGGGTATGAAGGAGGCATGACCTACAAAGGTCAGCCACTGATAATTTTGGATACCTCTTCATGTGCCAGGTTTTGTGTGTTTATTTACATCATAAATGTTCAGGAATTGAGAGGCAATCACTTCCACCCTCTCCCACAACGGATTTAAATTTAGAAGAAAGAGATTTTCATACTCTGAAATGTGCTGATCTTGAAGTATGTGAGTTCTGCAAGAGCAAAGGTTTACTGGATACCACGCCAGCATGGGGTTTTCCACCAAAGGTAGGTGCCTCCATTCCTGAGGATGTTTTGGAGATAGCATGTAGAATCAGAATATTATGGTCACTGTTTTAACTCAGATTAATATTTATCTGCATCTCAGGCTCTTTTGAAACAGGTAAAGAGGTTAGCTAAATTTTCCAGGAAATGTCAAACCTGATGCGTACACAGTAGCTCTGCCTCCTCCCAGCGTGGATCAAGGTAACTTGTGTTTATCTTCAGACATCACATAGAGCTCCTAAAAAGAAACATCAGTGTGGCAGATTTTGTCCATGCTAGAGATATACCTCAGCACGGGCATATGCACATCCCATATACCTTCTGTGAGGGAGAAAACTCTGTTGGCAAACTATTTTCTCACCCAACTTTAAAATTCAGTGCTAAAGTCATGTAAGACCAGAAGTGTTGCACTCCATCAATACGCTTCTTACAGATGTTTAGAAGCAGCTGAACTTAAATTTTGCAAGCAGGTTTTAACTTGTGATTATCCTTATTGAGCTAATGTAGATATAAGAAACTGACTTATAATTAAGTTAAATTAAAATGTGGTTTGTATAAGCCACCAAGGGGTTATAACTACTTGAGTTGAAGGCTTTATTTCAAATCTAAAATTGATGTGTAATCCCTGATGAACACATGATATGAGTTCACCTTTATTCAGACTGCAGAGAGTCAGAGTGGCTTTTTTTATTACAAAACCACAAGAAGAGGGAAATTGTCCAAAAGATAGCAGCTCTTGCTTTTAACTATATGGGGCTTCAGTTTATTCCTCGATATGTCAGCAAAAATGATATATACATATTAACATCTCCCATGATTCTCATTATCAAAGCTGCATTTGCCTACATGGCAGTAAAGCATCATCTTTTCTTTAGTATTAGCAGTGAATCCTTTCGTTTGTTTCCCAATTGTTTTTATACACCCCCAGAGTCATTTATTTATAACCAGAACATGCAAATAGAAGTCTTACCCTGTCCCTTCACTACACAAGTTCCTGGTGAATCAGAATAGTAGCATGAAGACCACATAAATGCAGTGTTGAAAGGACTGTTAGACAAGGAAGAAGTATTCTTTGTAGAAGAACGATAAGCCTCCCTAAAGTTGGGTTTCCTTCAGTCCTGTTATAGTTGCAGCCAGTGCTGTACATCTAAACATGTCATGGTAATCACACCTGGAATGATAATGGTGCCTCACCAGGGCTCTGCTGCCTGTTTTCTGTATGAATCTCCACCGTGGCTATGTAAAGCTGTTCTTTGGAGCTGAGTGTTTTCATCCACAGTTGCTGTCCCTGTAAGGAACATTCCTTCCAGCTGTGCCCTGACCTGATATTTTCCACCTCAAACTTTGCTGGCTGAAGTCACTTGGTGTTGGCCAGCTCCCCAGATGATCTGGCCCATCACACATCTCTTAATGCTTCACAGCAGTCCACCCCACATGAACACATACACAGTTCACCAAACATTAGGTGGCAATAGAAATTTATGGTCCCTGCTGAGTCTCTGAGATGCTTTTATTTATCAACTAGCCTTTCTGATGGCCAGAGTGATTTCCCCGCACTTCTGTGAATAAGCATCCTTTCCTGCAGGTATCTTGCAGAATATCCATTTCTCTCACTTTTCTGAGAGTCTGGAAAGGCAGCCTTTGCTTGCTGTTAAGCAACATTCAGGACAAAACATTCCCTGGCAATTCAGCTATTATAAACTACTTTCAAAAGGCCAAGAAGGGCTGGAGACAACTTTGTGCAATCTCTATCCTGTTGTCCTTGTAGGCAAGGCAGCCAGCAATGATCTGGGCTGATAGGAGGCTAGTAGAGATCAATCAACATGTAGTAGACAGAGTTGTCTCATTTTCTGAGAATTGAGGTCTAGTCCTTTGTTTTTTGTGATTTAAGAAACATATCTCTCTGGAAAAAGATGTGGGAAAATATTTTCAGGTGTGTATATTTAAATTATTATACAGTAGGCTGCAATTAGTAATATATACATTATAAAAAACAAAATGAAAACATACACTTCTGTGCTGACTAGTCTGAGATAGTTGGCTTAGATGTTATTAAACACCAGCTGTAGAAGCTTTGACCAACTTACTGATGTGTTAAAATAAAGTTTTCAAGACATGCTTACAGGGTTTACAGAGAGCACATGCCTGTAAATTACTAGACTGTAATTAAGAACCTGAACTATGGAATAAAAATTGTACACCTGTCCTATTTTATATTTGGATGTATTAAAGTATGGAATACAAAGTAAAGATTGCTGAAGTACAGTTAAAAAAAAAAAAAAATCACCACGATCTGAATAAATAAATACCTCTCAGAAGTTACAACCTTAGTGTTTCAATTTGTTGTGCATCTGTTGCTGTTGAAACAACCTGCTGTGTATGTCAAGTGGGTGAAGAACAGGATCGGCTTGTTCAGAGCAACCAGGGCTACCCAGGGCCTTAGGGCTGCTTGCTGTTTCCACAGCCCCCAGCCATGCTAACTGTGCAGTATCAATAGGAGAAACCAAAATCTTCTCCATCTAAAAGCATTTTTTAGCTCTGGCAATGTTGGAACTAGTATTTTGAATGGCTACTTAAATAGGAGACAAATACAATGTAGGATTAGATTAACCTATTAAAAACAGGTTGCTGCAATGCAGAAAGTTAGGAGTCATATTGGAACAGCAAGAGTCAATCATCTTCAAAGACTAGGGGAGGAAGAGTTGTTTATTACCAATTATTTTGTTTATCTTTCAGGGAATTATTTTTCCTTTTTCATTTGCATTTCTACTTTAAGCCCTATAACTTGATTTTATACATACCCATACACTTTTTTAGTGCTGTACCTCTACCCTAAAAGTATCTGATCTAAATTAGTTAGTTAAGTTCATCCCTTACATCCACTGTGTATGGCAGAGTTGTTGTAGGATTTAACTGAACATGGTCATTGTTTATTTATTCAAGCAGCTTTCTGAGGGAACGGTTAAAGTGTGTATTTCTTCTGAAGACCTCTGACTGTCAGAAGCAACGAAAATAAGAAAATTATAAGTATGCATTGGAAATATGTGACTGCTCCTTGTCTAGAGAGCTTAAAAGGCTGCTGCAGTCAAATGTAAACTGAAGAAATCCCCATCTGCAAGGAAATGAAAACTATTATTTTTCATCTAAACTTTACACCTAAACCATTTCTTAGACTAATTCCTTAGGCTGCTCCACTGAGCAAACTTTAGTAAATATCTCTCCAGAATGATCATAAACCGAAATGATGTTAACAACAAAACAAAGTCCTAGCGAGGGGGCTTTTATGCATAACAAAAACTCATATCAAAGCCCAAAGGAAACTGGAGTAATCAACATTGCAGGCGTTACCCTTTGGCAAGGGAACAACTAGGAACAAAGAAAAATTATTACTAAAAAACAATAAAGTGCTTCAGATACATCAAAAACAATTAGCCATTAGTTTTAACAGAGCCTAAAGTTAAACACAGTAAAACAACAGAGGATTTTCCCCATTTTCATCATTTAAAGTTCACGGTCTTGGAAAAGCTTTGTGGATAAAGAAAATCAAGAGCCTTGTGTGAATTTGGTGTCAATTATCTAATTAACTTTGATAACATCAGATGCAACCCTTCAGGGAAAAAGAGCTTCAAAGAGCTCTTGCAGGTAAGGGCACATCAGGAGAGCAGTAAGAGCTGAGGTGTGGAGAACAGAAAGGAGAGAGGCCTCTGGACTAAGTGCTTGTCCCTGGGCGTGCAGTAGACAGCAAGAGCCATTGAGCAGCTGCTGGTGCACATTTACCAGCCCAGTGTGCAGCATCTCCACATGGGAAGGAGGGCAAGGGAGCTGAGCAGGTTTCTGCTCTGACTCCTGTTTTGCTTCAAGGCCAAGCTGCTGCAATCTGGAAGCAGAAGAGCATTCTAGCCTGGCTCCTGCCTTCTCTTCCCATCCTCTCTCCATCAGCAGTGCCCGCAAGTAAGTGAAGTTTGTAAGTGAAGCTTTGTGAAGGTTGTGTTATGAAAGTACATTTTAATTATAGTTTAATCCTGGCTGGGCATGTGGGCAGCTCCTCATGCAGGAGGGAGATTGCCCCTCCCAGAGAAAGCCAACAGCAGCTCCAGGCTCTCAGCCTTCACATACAGCTTTACGTTAGCAGCAGCTGTTCACAAACACTTGCCACCCACAGCCTGAATTTCCATCTTCAAAAGCTCGTGATACCACCAGCTCATGCAGTAGCTCTGTGCATGAGCTGCCTGTTAGCTCAAGGCAGTGCCGACAGTGCCACTGCTCTGAGGGCAGGTCCCTGCCCAGGGCCGAGAAGTGCCACCTCCCTGCCTGCACAATCGCTAGTGCTGGCATCTGTGCATGCCTGGTCGGTGCCAGCTCTCCTCCTTGGTTTTGGAGGGTGTGTTGTGATGGTAATTCCAGGGCGGTGGATGGTGCAGAGGGTGTCAAACTGAGTGCAAAGTCAATTATCTGTGGGCAACCCTGGAAGGCATCCCCTTAGACTACACCATGTGCTTCAGGTGACCCAGGAGGGCCTGTGCTGGCACCAGCAGCACCACCAGGACAGGTGTTGCAGTCAGAGGTAACTGGTGCTACCTGAGCAAGCCCATATCACCCAGTTCCTCACCAATCCCACTCCTCCACAGGCCATCCCAAAGGGTATACGAAGCCTTTACTGACTCCCTCTCTCAGTTCTTGAGGTCTTTTGCTTCAGGGGCTCCTGCTTGTATCACCTAATTAGCAACCAGCTGTGGTTCCACCACTTTCATGCTAAGAAATCTGCATTTGCAGCCCTCAAAGAAGATGCATCCTTGGTTCTCTAAGCACTGGGACATGCACTTGAAAGGAGACCACGTGCACCCAAAATCAGGTCAGTGACTAAATTATTTGTTGCTGTCAGATCAGGTGTCAGTACTGTATGCACACGTAGGAAGATATTTGCAGTTGTTTCTTAGATCTTAAGGCAAGAACTACGTATTTGTGAAATAACAGCTGGGTTGGGAGGGAAAGGCAAGGAAGGGTGGGAAGATGAAACTGCAATGTCATCTGCTGAAAATGCAAATGTTTCTGCTGCTAAGAGCTTATGAAGGTGGTATCAATAAGGGATACTAGCTGATTGGCACACGAGTCTTGAATAACAATGTATATAGGACTGTAAAAATCCATGGAAAGCTTCATTTACTGGTTTCAACTTATTTCTTCTAAATAGCATGCTAAGAACTTGAGATCTGTGCCCCTGCCTTTTAGGATTTCTAACCTGCTTGTCAGGGCTCTAGCTCAAGAAGTCCCAGCCTGCTGTACCTGCATGCTGGCCCCTTGGCAAGGATAGTGCAACATATGCTTTCCTGAGCCAAAGCAAAATGGCATTGCTGCCTATACCTGCTAGCTGTCAGCATGCCTGTGTGACTTTTGTCATTGCTCTGCCATTTCTGCCAAGGTAAGGAAAAGACAGTTTTCCTGCAGTCTAGGCAGTATCAGCAGTGCCTGAGGCTGATAGGCACCATGGTATAGCCTCAGTGAGCTGCAGGAGGTGGGAAAAGGGTAGTTTTATGTGTATTACCTGGTAGCAGACCTAGAAAAATGTGGTGCTGTGTGGCACGTTGGCAAATGTTTCTTGTGTAACTTTTTTTTTGTGTGTGTAATTAGAGGAGAGTTTACTATGTTTTTCAGAAAGGCAAAATACTAGAAAAGCACATTTCATTTTAGAAAGTAGGAGTAAATGAAAAGCAAAAAGCAGAAATTTCATGTCTTTTGAGTTATCTACTTTTGGTATCACAGATGTTGCTGAGCTTTTGTTCTGTGCAAGAAGTCTTCCTCTTTCATCAGTCTTTCATCTGACCGCTTACTGAGATCTTCAGCTAGATCACTCTTAAAAGGCTGAAGCTGTGCTAATTCTCAGGATGGGATTGTCAGGAAGAATGTGAGGAAGTTAAGGCAAGTCTAGCCAAGAATAAGGTCTATGATATTTTCAGCTCTCTTGAGAGCTTCCATCAAGGTAAACCTAGACTAATTTTCTCTCTTATAAAGTGGTTCTTTGAGGCAAAGTGAACCAGTGTTTTCAGCTATTTGTTTTCCTCAGTGTTCTTTACTTGGTGTCTGATCACAGTGGTTGGCATACACAAATACTGTGGCTCATTTTTTTAAAAAGTGTTATACCAGTAATAAAGAAAACAGTTTGCATTTCAGATGAAGAGGCAATAAGTGTATCACAAAATATTTACCTGGAAGAGTAATAATTTGCTGAGGATTTAACAGCAGTATGACTATTTTTTGTGTATATGATTAAAGCTTACAGCTTTGTTTTCAAACTAAGGTTTTCATGGGAGTTTTTATAGTACAAGGCAACAAGGCATGCAAGGTATGCCTATTTTTTTCCTCTTTTTTTTTTTTTTTTTTTGAGATAACAGCCTGTATTCACTTTTCTGGAGAGGTTTAACAGTTTGTGCTTGTAAGTGTCCTGCTTTTAAGCAAGGTAGAAAACCTAACCTCTTTGCCTGTGTTAATTTAGTGGTTGTAGACCATTTACCCAACATGAATATTTTTGCTGGGAATGGACTTTATTCCTTCTCTTTCTCTCTCTCAAAAAGAAATAAAATAAAAGCCCATGAGCTCATTGATCATCTGGGAGGGGAACTTTTCCCCCACCTGCTGACTTTTTTTTTTTTTTTCCATAGGTCAGGGGCAAGTAATGACATGGGAGGTGAGGTGGCAGGGTGTAGGGAAGGAGGGGAAGAGCATAGATCATGAAGAGCCATTGGGCCACCTCGTGTCTGTGTCACACGAGCAAAGCAAACAGGCACAAGGACATTTTGCACTGATGTTGTTGGAATGCTTTTTAAAAAATAAATACATAAATAAAATTACTCATTTTCTGCCCTAGTTGAATGAAGAATGTGACATGCTTAACAGGGAAGGTGGTGTTATGCCACCTTTGCATTGGCTCTGTGGAGCAGGGTCGGAGAGCTGCTGGAGTTAAGTGTGCTGGACAGGGCTTCCTGGAGGAGCTTGGTCAGCCTCAGGGATAGTGGTGACAGCCGCCCTACAGGGTATGAACATAGCAGCTTTGTACGGTATGCGTCTGCCAAGTGCACCAATGCACAGGCATGCACATCATCGTGAAGGTGATTAAGTGTAGATTGAAGGGCCCCCGGAATGGACCTGGCTGGCTGCACTTCAGTTGGAGGGCTGACAGTATTTTTGCTTTCCAGGTCTACATGGGAGACAGCAGAATGGCTGGAGCCTAAAAGCATCCTCTTTAAAAGTGCAGGCTCAGAAAAATCTGTCATTCCATATCCATCTTATTTTTCCAACTCTATTTGTCTTGTTGGATGCTAATTTTACTAAAGCCAAGAGACACATTCTTGTAATTGACTTTGTTTCATGCAGCAATAACAAAGTTTGAGCTAGTTATTTTTTGACTTAAAATTCATAGTTCAAGGCAGAACATGAACCCTGGGGAAATAATTGGTTGGTGTCCATATTATTAATATTTTTAAAAAATCAAAACTCAAGTTAAAAAAAAAAAAAAAAAAGGCTTTCCTGCTGAATAGTGCTGTATTTTCTGCATAGTATGTAAAACATTCTTTAATTGCATTTAAGCATGTCTGAAGAGTGCGATCAATTTTTCTGTGATAAAATTTGCTGTAGCTTTCCTGAGAGCAAAGCAAAGAGCATACATTATGCAAGTGGTATTTGATATCCCCAACAAAAATAAACAGCTGGAGGAATTTAGTGAGGAAGCATCATGCAGGACAACATGCTCTGCTTTGCTTCCTCCTGTGCTCTTCCATGCACAAGCAGCATGGTGGGTGAGGGAGATTTACCCCTGATGGAGGCCCTGGCCCCTCAATGTGAGCTCCTGCTCCCACTGAAGTTCTTTCATCCAAGGCCTCACTTGCTCCATGCCCTCAGCATGGGGTGGTGCCCACTCCTGTAGCAGTGCCTGTTTTGCTGTTTCTTCCATCTCCTACATTGTGTTGTTTCTCAAGTACATCCAGCAAGGCTCGCTTACTTCAGATCCTTAGAATCGTAGTCGGCCTTTTGAGATTCCTTAGTGACTTTACCTGTTCAGTTTTGGAGACCTCCTTTGCTCAAGGAAGCAAAAGCATAGTGTCTCGGCACATTTGAAGCTCAGGAGAGGCAGAAGCAAGTTGTTGCTGGTGCTAAGGCTTTGCATCATGGCATGTCTGATGGCCACAATCAGAGCTCTGGCCTGGTTATTATACAAAATGCAAAGTTACACAGTACCATAGCAACAATAAGAGCAATCAAAGGGCAAAGGTTTGCATACTGAGAGGAACTTAATAGCAGCAAGGAATGCATGCAGCCTACAGTCTTTTATAGCCTGTTTTGGGTGCTAAAAATCCCCCCTGCAAGCGTGCTTTGTTATGATAAAGTAGAGACACAGCGAGTAAACTCTAAGACTTTATTGCTAGCAATCAGGTATTGTTCGTTTGACATCTTGTATCAAAGGAAATTAAAATGCAAATAAATACCATCATAGTACACATTGATTTTTCTTTAAAATAAGTTGTTATTGGCAAGCAGGAGTCAGAAATCAGCTTTTCCAAGTGCATTAGAATTGAAGAAAAGTTTTGTTTGTTTTTTTTTTAAAAAAAAAAAAAAATGTCTTAAAAAAAAGCCCTAAGACTTCAAGGTATAGAAACCCTTCTGCTTCCCTGTTCATGTTCTCCTTCTCTTAACACTCAGATGCAAATAATTAATGCTGTTGAAGCTGCAAAGACAGATCAAGTACAGTCCTTTCTTTATTTTCCTTCCATTAGTTAAAAGGAGTTTTCCTTTTTTTTTTTTTTTTTTTTTTTTTTTTTTTTTTTATTTCTGAAGGGATACAAAGATGTGCCAAATGGCTACTGCGGCCATGTCTAAGTATTTGCTGTATAGCATTAGAAAGAGCACTGGTAAGAACTACATGGAGCAGAAATGTTGTAGAGTACGAAAAGGATAGTGCCGAAAAATCATCCTTGGCTGCTATTTGAGTTAGCAAGTTCACAAAATAGTAACTTACTGCACAAAACACATATATATCTCTCTGCAGTAAAAGATGCTATGTCAGATAACCCAGGCAGCAGAGTGTCTTTGCGATAGCTGAAGGCTTTGCCTAATTGCAGTCTTACTCGTGACAGTGATGCCTGTGAAGAAATTCCCCAGGCCTTGTGAGTGAAGCACAGGCCTGGGCTCCCACTGCCATAGCAACAGAAGTGCACCCTGCTGAAAAGCCAGCTGAGTCCAGTAAAGGTCACCAGAGACCTTTAGAAAGCTGGGGAGCTTTATTCCCAAGTAACGAGGCACAGCTCTGAAGCTGGAATGACGAAACGGTTTGCCTGTGGCAGGCATCCAAAAGTCACAAGTTTACCTCATGAATTATATTCTTAATGTGTTAGTGTTGACTTTAGGGCTATTTGAGCTCTTGGCAGGTTTTGGGGGAGTGGAGGGTGGTAGAGCTCTGGAGGGAGGGTGTGAAGATTGGGGTTTTTCTGCAGTTGCCATGGGTAGAAGTTACTTATGAAGCTACAGGGACTGAGACCTTGTGGAAAAAGCCGGTGAGTTGCAAGGGCTGGCATCACTAAAGAGAAAAATAGCTTCCTTCAGTGTCTTTTCTGTATCCTTCCACTGCAGTTGCTGTCAAAGTAGAGGTAAAATGTAGCATGCTGTTTCCAGGGATGGTGGTCAAAGTGTCAGGCCTGGTATCACCAGAGACAACTCAGTCTGCCTCTCGTGACAGGCTGAACTTGTGGGAATGTGGGAACGGAGAGAGCTCTGTTTCTATTGTTTGTTCTGATCCATGTACCAGATCCAGGCAGGATCATCCTCCGGTTGGAAAGCTTTTTAAAGACGTAAAGTTTCTGATGC